CTGCACGAAAACCAAAATCATCAGCTTCTATGTCGGCATCAATTTGTTGCGTAATGTTAAGGGCAATTTCTGAAAAATACTTATTAAAAGTATCAGGCTGAATATTGCATTTGTTTTCCTTTTTTGTTATTTTTCTTTTTTGGTTAATTACCTGCCACATTGATTTGATTGAGTTTTCAGAGGTTTTAATTTTGAAGTCATTATAATTTATTTTTGCCTGTCTTATTGCCTTTTGGTATTTGGCTTTAAATTGATGTAATATTTTTTTACTATTTGTGGTATTTAGCTTCTTATGGTTATCGTGCAGTAGCCAAAGAGTTTCTCTCATTTGTTTAAGAGACTCGTTATACCATCCTGCAGTTGTATTACCTTTAGGATCGAAAACAAGCCTCTTTTCTGGAAATGCTTCTAAATATCCATTTATTAAAATATTAAGGAAGGTGTCAAATTTAGACTCAGCGGTTTCACAACTATCATTTATGAACTGCCATGATTTTTGCTCAATTAGGTTGTAAAATTTAAATAAACCACTTTGTGTTATTGGCCTAAATAATTTTACTTCTTTTTTTATTTTATTTATTTTATTAATTTTTAAATTTATTATTTGGCAACAATGATCAGAGATACTGGATTCCAAAACTGATACAGACACAGAGCTAATATCAAAATTTAAAAAAGCATTATCAAGACAAGATTGATTTCTAGTATTTTGAGTTATTAATTGTTTAAAACCATAGCCATCCAACAAGTCACAAAGAGCTATGCTGTTTTTTTCTTTTGTTCCGAAGTGGACGTTAAAATCACCTAATAAAATAATGTTTTTGTTAAAACCTGTTTTGGTAATAAGTTCATCAACAACCTTCAAGAAAATATGAAAATCTCCCGATGGAGACCTGTATATGGAGATAACATAGATGTTATGATCGTGTAAATGCACTGAACTAATCTCTATGCATTTTTCTATGCTAAGATTATTAAGTTTGTTTATATTACATGCTGCAAAGTTTGTATTACACAAAATAGCACTGCCACCTCCCAAACTATTTGATCGGCAGTAGTAGCTTCTTAAATCAAAACCTTCCAGTTTAAAAGTCTCTATCTCTTCATTCTGTAGCCAATGTTCTGTTAGACAAAGAACATTTATACCTTTGTCCATAATAAAGGCTTCTAAATGATTTGTTTTTTTGCGTATGGATCTCACATTTTGATGCATAATTTTTAGAAAGCTTTTTTGTTGGGTTGAGAATTGCTCTGGAAAAACTTTGGTTTTGATAGATGTAGTTTCCTTATAAAAAATATTTAATTCATTTTTTCTTCTGTGGGTTTTGAAAAATTTGCATTGAAAAAAAAGGAATAAAACTTATTACTAAAAAAATAAACTAAAATGTACCGAAGTGAAAAACGGTAGAAAATAAGGTATTTTTGGTAAATGGACTGCCAAATCGATTGAAGACGAAAATACAAATAATGATTTCTTTTCGTCTTCGTCTTCGCCCACGCCTTTCAGTTCTGATTCATCAGAATCAGATTAATTAAAATCAAAACTGGAAGAGTGAAAAAAATATTATTTTTTATTAATTATGAAAATTTGCAAGTGAAAATATAAAAGAGGAAAAGAAAAAAGTTTTCTTTTCTTTTTCTTTTTAAATTTTTACTTGTAAATTTCCATAATTTTTAACAACAATATCTTTAATAATTTTTGCTTCATACTTTTTTGTAATTATTTTTTATTTCGTATGTGTTTTTTATGGTGTGTATAAATTTCTATTCTTTTTTACTTAAAAAATATGATTTTTTAACTCAAACCTAGTTTATTTTTGTTGTGATTATGTTGTCTGTTCATTTTATTTTGTTTGTTATTTTTTTTTGTTATTTTGTTATAAAAGAACTTGTTACGTATGTATAAAAACATAAGAAATAAATTATTTTAATACATTGTCAAGCAATATTAATGTTTTATACGTTTACATTACAAAAAACTTTTCCATCTTTTCCAACTTTTCCGAACTTTTCCGAACTTTTCCGAAAAATAAAACCCAAGTTTTCAAAAATTTCAACTTTTCATGAAAAGTTGCAATCCTAGGTGTGGAGCATAGTACCATTTGAAAACATCAGTTATAGATTATTGAGATGATAAAAAATACTAGGAACAGGTATTTTGGAACAGGTATAAGCGATTAACAGTCTGACATAAGTATCGCTTTTAAAAAATACTATGTCCATCTTTTAGAACATTTCAGTATTTCGGGAAATACTGGATGGACCTCGTAATTTAGAAACATTAATGTATTTCCCGTAGTCTCAGAAATACAGTCGCGGTAGTGAAATATAATCTTATTAAACACTATACCTATTTTTGAACTTTTAACTGTACAAAATGGTAACCTCTTATGACAACTAACCAATGAATCATCGTATTACGCCCAGCTAACAAAGTTGTGTTCAAGTTGATATCAACGCGAGCTCAAGACTTGACTTTTACAGATCAAGCTTTGAGGTCAAAACCATATCAAGTTGGTTCCTCATTTGAGCTCAATGTTATATGATTTTCGATTAAATTCGAATCGGATGCGCGCATGCGCTGCCTACTTTTGGCGGAATAATTCAAATAATTGAAAAAACAAGTTATGGATTTTGAAAGGCAAAAATACTGTTTATTTGACGCAAACATATCTAAATAATTATTAACCTAAATGCTAGCATTTAAATTGATAATAATTTTTTTAAATTTGAAAATGCTTGCATCAAATAAACAGTCCTTTTGCCTTTCAAAAACCATAACTATATATAGTTATTTAGATTTTCTTGCATAAAATAAAATAGGCAATTAAAACACAAACAAAATTTATAAACGAAATATTAAAATATACAAAAAAACATTAAAAATTTTAAATTTGCTCAGAAAGCAAAAACTTAAATGTATCATTTGGAGGTTGCGTTTTATGCATAAGGAAGGTTGCAATTTGTCCATACAGTTTGTCCAAAGATGGACCCCATGGGGTTATATTGTAACCGTTACAAAGAGGAAAACAATTATTTTACTTTTCTCAGAAATCTTCATTCTTAATAGTTTTTGCTAGACTTTAAACCCACAGAATATGCGACACATCATTTTTATTGTCTAATTTGCAATTTTGACTTTTCTAAAAAAAAGAAAATTTTTTTAAACCCCTATTGGTCATTTTTCGTTCATTTATCATTTCTTAAAAGATCATTTCTTCCATCATTTTGTTCCAAGCTTTTAGTTTTCAATGTATCACCAAAAAATTTTTATCGCAGTTTTATGATTTTTATACTTTTTCTGATCATAGAGTGCTGTGTTTTTTAACTGTAAAGCAAAGAATTTATTTAATCCAATTTTATGTCACTGGGGTTTTATGTTACCATGTGGTTATTCAAAAATTTCACCAGAAGTTTGCACGTCACCGTTAGGAAATTAGTTACGAAATTTTGTACAACAAGCTCTGTTTTGGACATGAAAAAAGTTAAAAAGAAATATGATCATGAGAATACGATTTATTAATATTAGAAGAATAAAATGCCACTATTCCATAGTTACGCATTTTATCCCAGCGACAGTATTTTTTGTCACACACTCACTTAGAATTGAGACATTATTGGCTTGAAGACCATGGACAAAGTAAGCTATTGTTACACTAGGTGGCAATTATTATAAACTATAAATTAGAGCTATTTTTAAGCACAGTTGATAGTACTTACATAAATATAATTTTAAACATTGTTCGCATATTTGGAATTAAATTTGAAAGGCAAATATTTAATCCCAAAAAAAAAACATAAAACAACGTTAGAAACATTTAATAAATAGATACCTAATTGCATTTTTTAACTATTAAATCTCGGTTTTAGTGAGTGGGGGTGCATAATGTCTCTTTAAAATTAAATTTTATATCCCAAAAAACAATGTTAAAAACTGAACCGTAAAAACAAAAACACTTATCTGTCGCATTATTTTTATTTGATTGTGTGACGAAATAATATGTGCAACTCGTGAAGAATAGTCGATTACAAATGCGAGCGTTCTTGCCCCGCTCGCTACGATCGCGTACCAAACAAATGCTCGTTTATAATTAACTATTTTCTTCACTTGCACAATATACTATTATCACCTTGTTTACACGTTACTAAGGACTTTGACGTTTTTTTTATTTGACATTTGTTGACATTTAAATCCTGATTGTTATATGATTAAAATAATGAATTCTAAGATAGGATGGTGCACATGTTGGGCGGGGCGACGTCACTCGTTGAGTTATTTTTAAATCAGTGGATGATACAAGGATCATGGATGTAACGTGCGTTTTACTTATCTAGTGCTAAACTCCTGGAGTCGTTCTTGGTTTTTAAATTGCTCTGTTTTTTTGTTAAACTGTTGTTTTTTCGTACGATGAAGTTCGAATTACTTTTCAGTGTTTAAATTATTGTTATTGCATTGTGTTAACCTGTTCTGTTTGTGCTAAACTTATTGCTTTTGTATTGCGTTAAGTTGTTTTGTTTGTGTATGTGTTGTGCCATTTGCATTTATTAAAATGAGGCGAGTCATATTTGGATGCAATACATGGTATTAATTACACAGGCACAAAAAAAAAGTGGTCGGTCCGGCGGATCTGAGTAGTATGACTATATAAAAACTTCTTTAATGAACCTTTTTTAAACATTTAATTAATTCCTAAAAAAAAAAGCTACCCACTAGTAATACTAGGTGGACCTAGTATTTTTTAAAATACATGTGCACCCAGTATTTTTGAAAATACTATAGGTTGACCTGGTATTTTTGAAAACTCTAGTTGGACTCACTAAAATTTGACTTAAATGTACATATTTTAATCAAATCCATTTTTTTGAAGAAAAGAAAATCCTTATGACTAAGCAGGCTTGAAAAATTAAAATTTTAAAATGTTTCTACATGATCAAATAGAGCTCAGCACAGACTCATGTCTTGGCTTACTAACATAAATAATTATTAAGTGTGAACTTACCAATTTCTTCCAGTTCTACCCGTGGTGTTCTACACCCAGATTTCTTAAGCAAAACTTTGTATGACCTAAGTAAAATCTTGCCTTCTGAAGTTGCATTGAGACTAATAGTATGCTCTATTCCCTGCAACCTAACTGCATCTACAGTTTCTCTATGGAAAAAATCTATGAAAATTGACTTTAAATGTCTCATTTTATCTGTTTGTTCCCATTGTAGCCCATTAAATATTAAAACAGGCTTTGTACCCAAAGATATTTTGGAGGCAGCAAATTCTCTCAAGCCTTCAAAAGATTCTACATATAATTCTATCATGTCTAATAAACTATAATTAAACATTCTACCAATTACTAGATTATCAGGTCTTTTTTTACTATGAGATCCCATCAAAAACACTGGAGTTTCATGTTTCTTGCAAATATTCTCCACAGGAGTTACATTTTCAAAGATAGTAATATCATTTTTTTTGTTTAGCATAAGAGAATCTGGTTTTTTAATATCATACATATCCTTCAGAAGTCTTCTTAGTTTCTCAGAACATTTCCTTCCTTGAAAAAATACAGCTTTTTTGGGTCCTTCAATAATCTGCGGCTCTCTCTTCATTAACACTTTTTTTCCTTTACGTGTGAAAGGTTTGCTGGAAAAAATACCCAATAAAAAACAAGCTTAGTTAATCTTTATATTGTTTACTTACACCACACGTTGTAACACCGACATTTTTCTTAACTTTAACTGCAAGTTAACTTAATATCCCAAAAATGTTTTTCAACACGTGTTGACAAGATTCCTAAACTAACCTTACGCACGCCTTACCAACAGTAAAAACAAATGATTTGGGGATTTTTATGTGGCGCCAAATTTAAATTTTCAATATTTTATCGGCCACCTCGCCAATACCTTTTTTAATTCTGCACCATTTGCCAGAGGCAAGGACTCCTTGCCAAGGAGACAAAGAGGAGACTGGAAACTAAAATAAATATATAATAATAATAAATATAATAAAAATTCTTATTCGGTTGACTGTAATCCTAAAGCATTGACCATAGATTAATAACCTTTGACTAACCCATGGAGCCTACACAAGGAGCCCGAACTTAATAGGGAAAATTGCATAGAAATAATACTCATAGAAATATTAGTATTATTTCTAGGAGTATTATTTCTATGGAAAATTCACAAAACCTGCCCTCTGAGTCATTCCATGAAATTTCACCTAATGGCAAAAGCTCGACATCTCAGATTAAACTGAAAGTTTTAGGATTTGAAGATCAATGCTTGGGATGAACTAAAATCACAATAATATTTTTTTATTTAAACACCCTGAGAAATTAGGCGAGGCCCTGTTGACCGGTTTGCATAAAATATTACCAAATCGGTTTACAAGAAATCCTTTGTAACTTTTTTATTTATTAATATTTATTATCGCTTAATATTTTGTTCTAACCATATGTACTATTAATATACAGTGCTTGCAAATCCAAGTCCGACCACACTGGAAAGGACGGCTGTTCAATACCCGCGTGAAAAGAACAAGGATAGAACGCCAAATAGAATTTGATTGGCCAGCCGGCAGGCTACGACAACGCATACCCATCGCGCACCTCGCAGCGTGCTTGACACGAGGATATCAGAACGAGAACTGCAGTGGTGCCAGCAAGAGGTAGTAATTTTAGTAAAAAAGATTATTTAATTAAAAAATGTAGGTACACGTTGGAACAAAAAGTTCAGATTTTAATCTGGCATTTTGCTGGTAATTCTGAACGAGAAATTCAAAGATTATTTGCGGGAATGTTCGAGGCCAGACCAAACAGAGAAACAATTCGACGAACCGTTAATAATTGCTTGTTCGAACATTTAATTTAATTTTTCAGTTTATTTATTTTTAGAGTTTTATTAGACCAGGGTCGATAATTTTTGAAACCAAAAAAATAACAGTAGGATGAAACCCATTGGAAAAGGAGAAGAATATAATAAAAATAAAAGGAAAAATAAATTACGGGCGATCTGACTTTGGGAAGTGGGAGGGGGGGGTTTTAAGGGTAAAAAATGGTTTATCTCGATTTCCGGCAAAACTACAAGTCCTATGGAAAAAAGTTAAATGGCAAAGTTGTAGGTAATAAAAGGATCTACAACTTTTGTAATTAGAATTTTTTTACATAACCTCAAAATTTATGGGAAAAATTCAAAAAACCAAGTTTTTGGTTTTTTATTTTTATCTTTTTCAAAAAAAAAAATTTTTCCACGAAATTTGGTGAAAACTTACCTTTTTATGTCCCAAATACACTGTAATTTATTTGATTTGAAATATTTATTATTTCGCCTTATTTTGCCTTAATATCAAAAAAGCACCCTAATTTTCAATCGAAAATTCTCGCGTCAAAATATCAGCTTTTTTCAAAAAGTCGGTGTGCTTTTTGTTTGTTGAAATCTCTACTTTCTGATGGTGTAAAAAAATATACATTACTATGGTAAATGTTCTCAGAAAATGCAAAAAATATTATAATGAATAACGAAAAAAACTCGAATTCGAAAATTTATTTTAATCATTATGTACAATTTCATCAAAAAAATGTGATTGTTGCAATTTTTTTAGTTAAAAAGTTTATTTATTAAATTCTAATAACATTTATGTCAGAAAATCTCATAAAATATAAAAATACATGTAAATCATACTATTGAATTTAGATACTTCATTCTGATTACGTTATTCATTATAATATTTTTTGTATTTTCTGAGAACATTTACCATAGTAATGTTTATTTTTTTACACCATCAGAAAGTAGAGAGTTCATCGAACAAAAAGCACACCGACTTTTTGAAAAAAGCTGATATTTTGACGCGAGAATTTTCGATTGAAAATTAGGGTGCTTTTTTGATATTAAGTCAAAATAAGGCGAAATAATAAATATTTCAAATCAAATAAATTACAGTGTATTTGGGACATAAAAAGGTAAGTTTTCACCAAATTTCATGGAAAAATTTTTTTTTTTGAAAAAGATAAAAACTTGGTTTTTTGATTTTTTCACATAAATTTTGAAGTTATGTGAAAAAATTGTAAATACAAAAGTTGTAGATCTTTTTATTACCTACAACTTTGACATTTAACTTTTTTCCATAGGACTTGTAGTTTTGCCGGAAATCGAGATAAACCATTTTTTACCCTTAAACCCCCCCCCTCCCACTTCCCGAACTCAGATCGCCAGTAATTTATTTTTCCTTTAATTTTTATTATATTCCCCTACTTTTCCAATGGGTTTCATCCTACTGTTATTTTTTTCTCTTTTTACCATTTTTAAGGGCTTCTGCACTGGTCTATATTTTTATTTAGAGTTTTATTTTTATTTTTAGTTATTTTTATTTAAGAAATCTTTTTTATTAAGAATACTATTTTTGTTGTTGCCCTAGTTCTCAAGGAAAAAAATCAAAAAAATTTATTTTTAGGATTCGGGTATATAATATTTAAAAAGAAAATTAAAATGTGCATCTCCACTCTAACGCAGTTTGCTTAACACTAAATCATTTAATCTAAATGCAGCCAGAGTTGACGGTCAACTGTTGACCTCGCTTACAATTCGCACGCATCCGGGGCTCTGGCCAATCAAATTCTATTTGGCGTTCTATCCTTGTTCTTTTCACGCGGGTATTAAACAGCCGTCCTTTCCAGTGCGGTCGGACTTGCATTTGCAAGCACTGTATATACCTAAAATTATACAGTTTTTTTAGTGCTAAATTCACGCTTATTTGAACTGAAATGTGATTTTTATACCATTGATATTATGTAGTAGGAAATTTGATTTGGTGTATATTTTTAATTAAAGTACCTACTTATAAATATCGATTAAAATATAAAATGCAAAATTATAAAAAGTACCCAAATTTCAGAAAATACTATTTTTATTATAAAAAACTTCAATTTTTGGTGAAAAAAAATCCATTTTTTCGTCCAGATCTGGAGGGACTGTACGAAAATTGTTCAAAATTTAACAGAATATATCGTCACCGTTCTGGCAAAAGTCATGACTTATGCATTAACTCCATTTTTGTCTAAAAGTAGTTAACAACCTTCGCGATCATAGAACAATTATATCTGTGGTCTAGAAAAACTTAAGTGCAGTATTTTTAGCATCCCTTGCGGCCTTGAGTTTACGGAGAATTCACCGTTTGCGTGAATTCACCGTGAATACACCGTTTATGTGCAGTGAATATACCGTCCATTTGTGACATTTGTAGACGGTAATTAAACGGTGAACTCACGCTGTTTTTGCGATAAATTCACGGTGATTTCACGGTAAATTCACGGTGAACTCAATTTGCAAAATCACCGCAAATTCACTGTGAAAGTACCGTAAATTTATCGTGAAATCACCGTGAATTCACCGTAAAAGCGCTGTGAGTTTACTGTGAAAACACCGCAAATTGTAAGTGTAAGAACAATCTGCTAATTGGTTATTCCCAATACAATACAAATATCGCAAGAGAGCTCTCGTGTAGCTGCGCAAAATCAACGAGGTTGAGACGCCATCATAAAGAAAAAAACAACAAGTTGGACGCCATTTATTAGCGTGTTTTTTTATTAGTCGATTTCTGTGTTAAGCGGTTTAAGCAATACATCTCACAGCTGCTTACGCAAGCGAGCTAACTATAAATAGCGTTGGGTTGCAATATTTAGTTGGAACCCATTGAACCAAACCGTGACTTATGACCTAAAATTTACGTAACACGTAGATCATATCTAGGTAATACAATTTTTACGTCATAGTGACATAATACTGACCCAAAACGTGACTTTTATATGATGTAATTAAATGACTTACATATTACGTACATCTTATGTAATATTAAAGTCATATCGTGACGTAACATTAAAGTCACTTTTCTTACGTAAGGCTGACATAAGAAATCTGTCATAATATTACATAAGTTTTAGGTCACTGTCTTACGTAAGACTGACGTAATAACTATGTCATAATATTACCTAAGTTTAAGGTCACTTTCTTACGTAAGGCTGACGTAAGAAATACGTCATAACATTAAATACGTTTTAGGTCACTTTCTTACGTACCCTGCTGAAAAAGCCGGGTGATTGCAGGTATGTGCGGGTGAAAAACCAAGCTGGTTTTACACCCGGTTATATATGTATTTTGCCTGCCATACCAGATTTTGCCCGCACGCCTGCTTTCACCTGCGCTGCCGGGTGTAAATATCACCCGCAAACGCCCGGTATTGACGTTAATTATATATAAGATTTTGTTTTCGCCTGATTTCACCCGCGTTTACCTGCATTTTGATTTTCTGTTTTTGTCTGCATTCTCCCGGTTTCATCCGCGAACGTACGTTTTTACATGCGTACGTCTGCATTCGTCCGCGAACGTCTGCATTAACCCGCGAACGTCTGATTTCACCCGCAAACGTCTGCTTTTGCCTGTTTTCACCCGCAAACGTCTACTTTTCCCTGCAAACGCCTGCTTTCACCCGCAAACGTCTGCTTTTACCCGCGAACGCCTGATTTCATCCGCGAACGTCTGCTTTCATACTTTTTCACCCGCAAACGTCTGCTTTCACCTGCGAACGCCCGGTTATACCTGTCTTTCGCCCGGTTAGTGCAAACTCGCAATCATCTGCAATCACCCGCGATCGCCCGCATTTAGTTTGATTTACTTTCGCCCGGTTTCATCGGCAAACGTCGGATTTCGTCTGCGAACGCCTGATTTCACCTGCGTACGCCTGCTTTTACCCGCAAACGTCTGCTTTTACCCGCAAACGTCTGCTTTTACCCGCGAACGCCTGATTTCA